TTTTTTTTTTAATGTTTTATTTATTTTTGAGACAGAGAGAGACAGAGCATGAGCGGGGGAGGGGCAGAGAGAGAGGGAGACACAGAATCCGAAACAGGCTCCAGGCTCCGAGCCATCAACCCAGAGCCCGACGCGGGGCTCGAACTCACGGACCGCGAGATCGTGACCCGGCTGAAGTCGGAGGTTTAACCGACTGCGCCACCCAGGCGCCCCAACCTGCTCGTGGTTCTAAAGCACAGACCACCAGCCTCGAATTTCAGTTTGAAAATCAGAAGTTGCTTGTCCTGGTCACTGTCACCTTCTCTGTTCACCTGGGACACAGCCAGCCTTCTTGCCCGCGCTCCCAGGGGGGTCCGGTGCCCGGAACCCACATATTCTCTCCCTGCTTTGTGTTTCCTCTGCGGTGCGCCTTTCATGCTGTGGCATCCAGTTTCTCCCTGGTCTGGAGTTTCCCGTCTCCCCCGCGGAGGAGGGACTAGGGGACACAGAGTGGGAGGGGCTGAGCTGTCCTTGAGCGACAGTGGCTGCGGTCCTCAGCCAAAAGTGCCTTCCAGGGCCGCGTACCAGGGACTTGGTTTCGTCAGGGAAATGGACGCAGTCACGCTGTGGCCCCGGTCTCTGCGGCACTCGGCACCAGCCACCTCCTCACGAACGCATCCCCCACCCAGAATCAAGCAGGTGGCCTGGAAGGCAGGCAGGAGGGGCCTTCTCATCTGTGCAGACCAGCCTGGTGGCCCCTGTCCGGGCGAGGCTTTCCCCACACGGCCACACTGTGTGTCACCAGCTGCACATCCACCCTGGGTCCTCCGAATGGGTCCTTGCGGATTCCCTGGTAGCGTGTGCACAGCGACCACAGACGGGGGCTTCGAGAACAGAGGCGTGTTTGTGTGTTTTTTCGCCGTCCGAGACCCAGGCGTCCGAGACCCAGGCCTCTCCCCGGGCCCGTCTCCTCCCCGTGCTCACACGGCCATCCCTCTGTGTGTATCTGTGTCCTGACATCCTCCTCTAGGGACGCCGGCCATGTGCAGCCCCATTCTGAGTTCCGGGGTGCCGGCACTCCGACATCCTGATTTTGAACAGGCACAGTTCAGCCTGTTACCCCAGGGACACCCCCTTCTCACAGAGAACGTTCAGCCGCACAAACCAGGCCTGGGCCCATACCTCCCGGACCCGGCACGACGGCTGTCCCTCCCAGGCCCCCCTGGCCCCGCAGGCATCTGAAGCTGCCTCCTCTTTCGGACAGATCACACACAGTCAAAGAAAAAATAGTCCATTTACGTGTATTTTAGTGTGAGGTTAAAAGTGGGAGGGCAGGGGGCAGGGGCTGGGAGGGAGTAGCTCAGAAAAGCCCCTAGAGGTCAACACCGGTCCAGGGCTCCACACCGTGACCCCGTCTCCTCCTGTTTCCATCACTTATAGACAGGAGAGCTGAACTGTGAGTGAGGACAGGAGACTCAAAGGCCCGGAGCCCCGCTGGGCCCATCTCTAGAAGAAGGGCGTCCGCCCAGCCCCGGGGTCAGCGGTGGTGGACCGGCTTGGCCGGGAGCCCGAGTGTGGCGGGGGTACGAAAGTGGAGTGTCGACTCCTCAAACTACCGGACAAACTACCGGACACGGTCTTGGCTTTGGGCGCTGTGGTCACTGATTTCTGTGGCTTCATCATGGCCCTGTCATCCTTCCTCTGATGCTTCAGGAGTTAGTTATGTGCAGAGTCCGTGGTCCTGCCAGGCTGACTCCATGGGTTTTAAATCATGCCTCGGGTGGCTGGGTGGCTCCGTCGGTGGAGCATCCGCCTCTTGGTTTCGGCTCAGGTCGTGATCTCACAGTCTGTGAGTTCGAGCCCCTATCGGGCTCTGTGCTGACAGTGGGGAGCCTGCTTGGGATTCTCTCCTTCTCTCTCTGCCTCTCCTCGCTCATGCTCTCTCACGGTCTCAAAATAAATAAATAAGCTTTAAAAAATTAAAATTAAATAAATCGTGCCTCAAGACTGGTCAGGGTTCTGAGTGTGGGTGGGACGTCCACGGAGACGAGGCCAGGACTCGCTCGGCAAGGCAGCTGCCCAGAGTCTCGACTCCCCCGGGGGCAAGACCAACTGGCCATGACCCTCGAAGGCCGCCTTGCTAGAAGAAGGGATGGTGCGTCCTGAGATCCCCAAGGGCACGACCCACGTTTCCCACAATTCAGCCGCTGCCCGTATGATGTGTCACATGGCGTCTAATCTCGAAACAGAATTGTGAGTTGGACCCAGAGCGGAATTAAGTCTTCTCTGGGCGAACCTGCTGTGTGCCAGGGTTCCCGAGGAACAGAAGCACAGTGACGGACGTGCTGCCTCTGTGCTCAGACCGGCCGGGCCTGAGGGCGCGCCGAGCTTCCAGGTGTCGGCAGGCTTGGTGACGGCCACCTCCACACCCAGCGACCTCCACACCCAGCGAACTCACTCGCCTCTGGCCTCCCTGCGTGTCCAGACACCGGCACCGAGAGCCGGGCAGGCTGCTACGTCCGTCCACGGTCACTGCCCCCTGGCCTCTGGCTGGCCATTTCGGTGCCTGTGGGTGGGTGGTGCAGAGTGGCAGGGCCGCCGCCAGCCCCACGCTGCTCCTCGGCGGGGCCGGGCCGTGCAGAGGCTCTGCCAGCTCCTGCTGCTGGTCTTCTCCGCACTCGCCACAGGGGCGCCCCAGGCTCCGTGGCGGAGCGGGGGGCGGGGTGTCCGGCTGCCGCGGATGGGCCGGGGCCCGGCAGGAAGCTCCGGGGTTAACTCTCAGCCCCTCAGCGGTCCCTGGAAGAAAGCAGACAATCCAATCAGGATGCTGGTTCGTAAAATGAACTTTCAATGTGTAGCCCACAGACGGTCATTGACTGTGGTCGATAAATAACACCAGTCTTGACGTTTATTGTTGTAGGGAGTGATTACGATCCGCGAGGCTGGGCTCTGGGCTGTGGGATGCCTCGTTCGCGGCGTGCACGGGCAGACCCATGAACTTGTGCCTGCTCCTTTCAGGGGACCGCTATTACTCACGGAAGACTGATCGATATTTCGCCCGTTTGGCGTCTTGACTGAGGATGTGTGGGTCCATTGTGGGGCTGCTGATAATGACTCCTTTATTCAAGCTAGCTTGTAGGAGCAAGAAGAAAAAGAAAGGAAGAGAATGATAGCACATGCTCATGAAAGTGGAAAGTATGGGAAAGGTTCTATGCGCAAAACAACAGAAAAGCTACAAAATGGGGGAAATTGCAGGAAAAGGTGCAGAGGTTTCTAAAGCCATCAGGAAAAGGCGTGTTTTCATGGAAATTCCTTAACATGCTAAAAATCCCAGCAAGCTTTAATAACTCTTTGGAAAGTCATTCTCTTGCGAAAGATTGATTTCATGAACCTTTGAGGTCTCACACACAACTACTTTTCTTACACTCTGAATAAATCAAGTGTTCTGCCTATGAGTAAGAAATCGTCCCTCTTCTTCCCCAAACGCACCCCCATTTATTTTCTGTTAGAAAGAGTCAGGGGCCTGGGATGGCGGCTGCTCTGGTCCCCTGTGCACGTGTTCTCTCCAGGGATGTCCACTGATCTCTGTGAGGGTCCCCGTCAGCCGTGGGCGTGGGACTTCGATTCTGATCGTCAGATCCGGGAATCCAGGGTCCCGTAAAACCAGCCGCGGTGGGTCTTTGGGCATGTGATCGTTTTACAGGGCCGGGTGGTCCCTGCCCCCTCGGTGAGCACTGCCTGAGTGGCCAGGTTCCTGGGGCAGGGGATGGGGGCGCTTCCTCGGAGCCCAGGCCTCTCCTCCGGGACCTGTTGGGTGGCGCGCGCCCCCCCCCCCCCCCCCCCCCCCCGCTGAACCTGGAGACCCCACCCCGCCTGCAGCAGTTCCCGCGGAACCGGGTCGGCGCGCTGGCGAGTGCTGAAGTCCAACGCCTACATCCCGAGGGCGCAGAGGCCACCCCTCAAAGGTCTGAGTTTCTACGGAGCGCCTGGTGGGCGGGGCTTGCTCGTTTCCGCCTTTCTGGCGTCGTGGCGCCCGGCGGATGGCAGGTGCGGAAAACCGCCAAGAAGATGCTGGGGACCCTTATGCCCCACGCTCCTGATTCCGGGCCTCAGTCCACACACATCCCCGAGCGACGCGTCTAACAGACGCCCCGTGGCTTCCGTGTGGGAGGCTCGGGACGTTGCTTCGTGTCCTCGTCTCCCCTTCGGCTTGTGAAACGGGGGTCGACGGCGGAAGGTGCCCGCAGAGCTGCAGGGACGGGGCAGCTGCGTGCGCAGCGGGGTCTCAGACACGGTGGCTTCGCGGGCCGCGCTCCCCGCCACTGGCCGCCGGCTCCGGGGTCTCGGGGGTGGCGGGGGAGCAGCTGCGGCCGCGGTGAAGAGGGGTGGGGCCCGTGCCCGCAGACTCGTCCGTGGACACTGAACTTTGGATTCCAGGTAACTTCCGCATGTCCTGAAATACTCTGATTTTAACTTTTCCCCAGACGTTTGAAAACACGGAAGAGGTTCTTAGCTTGGAGGCCGTACAGAAGCCAGCACAGGGCACGCTGGGCCTGGCACGGTGGTCGGTGGACCCTGACTTGGGCGACAGCCCAGATTTTATACTCGTGGCCAAAACTATGACTTCATTGGAAAGAGAGATAACAGGACATACACCCTGGTGCCTTCTAATCTCTGTTGATTTTTATTTTCTTCCGCTTTCTCTACACTTCCCGCCTTTCTAAATTAAATACATCACAAGTAATCATTTTGTAATCTAAAACGGTAAAGTTTAAAAGTCGTATTAGCCAAGATTACCAAAGTCCCTGGAGGCAGAGCAGAAGGAGCGAACACCCGATTTCCGCAAGGCCCGCTTGGCTTCGGTGTCTGTGAGACGGAGTGAGTCCTTCCGCGTGTGGGGAACAGCTCAGGACTGGACAAATAGCTCAGGAGAGGTGGCAAGAAGCCGCGTTTCCTTCAGAGGCCGAGGGAAAATGTTCTGCCGCTGGACCTTGTCACGGGTGCAGGCGGGGCCGGGGGCCCGGGGCCACCTCTGTGATCCCAGCCAAGTGCTCAACTGTGTGCTCCCCGAGGAAAAGTACTCTCGTGGGAAGACGTGTTGGTGTAGAAACAAGACGCAGCCTTGAGGCGGGACCTCTTTTCTCTCTGCTTGTTCCTGACTTAAAGTCTGAGTTTCCTGTCAAGAGGTTTCCCCTGAGCCGGGCTCACGAGGGCCAGCATCTCCTCTTGAGGCGAATGGCCGCTGTCGGGGCCAGAATGGGGGAGCCGGGGCCCTCCTGTCCCGACACAGCACCTCGCACGCACTTTTGTAAGAGTAGCTGGAAAGTTAAACTCTCTCCTCCTTTTCAATCCACTACAAGGAAAGGGGGAGACAGTCCTGGGAAGATGGCAGCTGGGGTCATGAGTAGTTTTTGAATCTCTCGGTCTACACATCGAAACAGGCAACCAGACAGCAAAACAAAAGCTAATGGGCAGCGTTGCACCAAAACGAGGGGACAAAGCCCCCCATGAGCTCACAGTGCACACAGACGAGGACGCGGCGACAGCCAGGACCGAGGGGCCGGAGTCTCTGTGTGGAGGGCACACGGGACCCACAGTTGTTCCCGGGAAGGCGTGGAGGCCACTCTGAGCGGGGTGGAGACACAGCGGGCTCTGTGCCCTTGCGGGGGGGGAGGCCCGGGCTCGCAGGACACGGGGTCCAGTGCAGCCCCTCGGGGGCTCCTTCCCGGACAGGGCTCCTTCGGAGGAGAAGCCACTCCCCTCGGACCCGATGCCTAGCACACAGAGCAGGAGGGGGAGGGAGGCCCCGAGGGAGCTGGTGGCCAGGGGCTCAGGGGCAAAGCCAGGCCTGTGCACCCAAAAAAACCCAGAGCATCAGGAGCCCAGAAAAGTTGGCGAAACACACTGCCTGCAGCTCAGAAAACTGAGTTCACATAAAAAGGAGCAGTCAACTGATATCGAGGCCAAGTCCCAAACACGCTCTTGAAGAAGAGAGGGAGGAGGACCCATCGACAGGCCCGTAGCCACAGAAGGAAAGGCGGGAGGTCCAGCCTCTCCCGCACGAGGGGAAAGACATTCAGAAAAGACACCGGGAAGGCCCAAACCAACAGACATCAGAATGAGAGCCGCAGGACGAGGGGGAGACCCCAGGGAAGGGTCGGCAGAAGGGGCAAGTCAGGCTTGACCCGGGCCGATGGCCGCGTGAAGGCGGACCAAGCAAAGAGCTCGCAGAGGCGAAAAAGTCTTACAAAGAGCCAAAAACCTAAGAGATGAAGAAGAATTTGAAAGTGGCGATGCTGAAGTCAGGCACGGAAAATCGGCAGGTGATCGTTCTTCCTGGAAAGAAACACCAAAGTGGGAAGAGCTGGAGTAAGTGCTAACCGGTGCAGTTCAAGGACGTGGTCCCGAAATGGACGGAAGGCAGCCTGAGGCCCCTCGGTGACCACAGGCGCGACCGGCTTGGGCTCAAGCGAGCGACATCAGGACAGTGTCAGCGGATCGCTTGACCAGCAAAAGCAAGGAAACTCCTTTTGGGGTTCAGGCGAACACAGCGCTGACAAGGGAGAGAACCTTGCATTAGGTCACGTTCCCAGCGGCACCTCGTGGCTTAAGTGAACCGAGTGACCCATGTGACACACGGAGGGAAGACAGTGCAGCGGAGTTTGCAGATAGGGACACGACCTGTTTGCCACATGTCATTTCTGCCAAATCTCGAGGATCTCAAGGAACGGTGTCCCGAGAGCTGCTCTGAGAACCAGGGACAGATGAGTCTGGCTGAGTCTCCCAGGCTTTTCTCCAGACCCGACTGCGTGCTGCGGGCCGGACCCCCTCCTTCCGCAGGTGCCTGAGGCCCATCGTCCCCCAACACGCACGCCTCCAGGCACCCCTGTGCTGCCCGTGGTTGGTGTGCATTTCTGTCTAGTTTTATGCTTCCCGTTGGTGTTTCTAAAAGGTGAAGCTGAAGCGTTCAGAATTTAGCCACGTTCCTACCAGAGCTCACCCCAGCATAGGCCGTCTTTTCTCGTCATTTAGTGCAAAATAGTTTTCCAATTTTATTGTAATTCTGTTTTCAACATTGGCTACTTAAAAGTACATTTTTTTTTTCCAATTAAAAAACATGGGAAGATAATAGGGCAACTATCTATTGGTCGTTAACATCTGGCTGGGTTTCACTGTGGTTACATGCCACACCCCACGTGACTTCAGTCCTTTGGGGTGTGCTGAGACTTGTTTATGCCTCGGCATTTTGTCAGGTTTTGAAATCTGTCCTTGGAAAGGCCCCGCTTGGGTCATACGGGAGCCCATGGCTGGATGGCCCCATCAGGCGCTCCCTCCGTTCTCGGGGTCAACGGGCCCAAGCGAACTCACACCATCTTAATTCTGGTGTTAAAAGCAGAAACACGGGAAGCATCTTCCTGATGGATTTTCAGACTGGATTCTGCCAAAGAACGCACACAAGAATACTGGAGAGGGCACGTGGACAATTTCATATTCCAGTAAATACAGGAACGGAGGCTGTGCTCCTGGTGACGAAGAGCCTCGTGATCAGGGAAAAGTCGGGCCCTTAGTGGGGCAGCTGCATTTCCCCAGGAGCCCGGATGGAGCCACTGGGGGGAATGGGGACACTCTCTGAGGCCACGGTCTTACAGGAAAGTCTCTGAAGCTCCTCTGTATATAAAACTAGATTCAAAGTCATAGTGGACAGAGGAATGCTTGTTTCACATGCAAAAACAAGGTGTTTTCAGAAGAAAATTCAAGTCTCTTACAGAAAAACATGTTTGTTATCAGGTAATTCTGGAGTAACTCCTTGAGAGAGAATTCGCAGAACAGAAGAAAATGGAAAACAGTAACTCAGAACGTCGCCACGAGGCTCTTTCGGGTTTCCTACGGAACTGCGCGCTGTTCCCTCGTGCCCGCATCGAACCGCTGTGCGAACGCCTTCTCGCGGGCTCTGAGTCGGAAGATGGCGGGATGCGGTCGGTGGCATTTCTGACGGATAAACATCTCGGCAGGCTGCGTGCAGGTGGTGTGAATGTCAGATGAGCATCGAGTGCCCATTGACTTTTCCAGTTGAACCAAAATAAATAAATTGGGGGTCTTTCCCGTAGATGTGCTTTGCCACATCGAGGGTCTCCCGCGTTAACAGCAACGGAGACGTGAACGGAACACGCAGCAAAGCTGGGGCGGCCGGTCCCCATGTGGTTTTAGATGTCCCTATGGTACAGTCACCGGGCCACGTGGGTGATGTGGGCAGGGCTTGGAGGCCACAAGAGGTCACGTCTCCGTCCAAGGCTGTGTCCAGAATAGTCCGGGTGAGGGGCCCATCAGCACAGCCAGTTTCCTCGCCCTGCAGCTCCATGGACGGAGCCTTCATGCCACGCCGGGGGCCGGCTGACCACCACAGGCGCACCTGGAATCTTCTTCATGTTTTAAACATGAACACGAGGGGCTAGTGTGTCCTTATCACCCGTCTTCCAGAAACCCTGGGAAGTTAGAGACGTGATTACAGACTATCATGAGGTTTTCTCTCTGTTAGTTGGTGATTTAAAATACACCCGGTTAATACCAGCATTTATAAAATGTACAAGGGCTCCCAGAAGTCAAGTACAAATTAAAAGCAAGCCAACAACGTGGCCTCGTGAAGAATTCAAGGCGCAGTTAGCTGACGTGTTGTTGTTTTTTTCTCTTTTCTCGCTTAGTATTTGCGTGTTTGCCATTTTCTCAATCATCGATTAGTGGAGCAGAGTGTAATTAGACCTTTAACGAGCACACGCTGAGCACTCCGCAAACAGCGAGGGGAGCCATATGTGGGAGAACGCAGGGAGGGTGGGGCGCGGACATGCGCCGGGCTCCCTGGCGCCCTCGTGGCCCTCGGTGGACGTGTTGGTTTCACCCTTTCCCCCATCGCTGTGCAGAGAGGGAGTCGGCTCTTGGTTTTGTCCGAAGCATTGGAATTCTTTGCGATTAATAATAATTAAAAATAATCTTCAGCACCTAAATGTCCTTCTTCCATGTGGCCCCAACCCAGGACTCAGAGCCTTCCTCCCAGCGCCGGGCCCCATTCCATCTTCCTCGTTGGCACCTGGTCCCAGCGTGTGGTGCCCCGGCCAGTCTCGGTGGGGAGGCTGTCCCCAGACCCCTGCCGGCGGACGGGTCAGGTGCCCGGGGCATGACTCCAGAAAGGGACGTGCCCCAGAGCCGCGCCCTGGATGCCGTCCAGAACCTGGTGACTGGCACACCCCACGCAGGCCCTTGCTGGACGATGAGGCCCCATAACCCAGCTCCACAGCTTCCCCAGCCCTCGTCACCCGCACGGTGTGAGTCCAGGCAGGGGTCGAGAGGGCCCTGCCCCAAGGAGCCGGGTCTCCGTCCTCAGCGGCTGTGGCTGCACACACTGCCACGGACAGAACAACTCGAGAGGGAAGAAATCCTGCCGTAGAGCACATTTGCCGTTCAGGCCACCAGATGCCTTCACGCGTGTGTGTGACTCAGGTGGGACCAGAGTGGTTAGAGCCCCAGGATCCTGCTGCCCAAGACTCACCTGCCCCAGACAGTCTGGCCGAACACCTGTCTGCTGCCCACACCTGGCTCCTGTCAGGCGGGTGAGGGCTCCCCGCTCCTGCCCTCAGTCTCCCGGGAAGGTGACCCTACCTGAGCAGCCACAAAGCCCACCGATGCCTCATTACTTCCCTTAACGGCCAAAAGATTCCGACTTCCGGCACGCGACACTCGTGGAAGCCCTCACTGGGGTCCTCGTGGCAAGAGAAGGGCCAGACGCACTGAAAACCAGCAAATCCTAGATCTGCCAGAGAGGAGAGGTCACGGGGCGCACCGCCGCCCTGAAACGGAGAGCTAGGCCGGCAGACGCAGACTGTCATGGCTGGAGCGGAACCCGCCAGCGGGAACCTCCCCGGGGGGCTGGTGCAGGTGGACGAACGGGGGCTCCTCCCCGCCGGCCTGGGGCTACAGCTGGGGCACCCACAGCGGTGTGCGTCCTCCCTGCAGGGGCCCCGGCGGGTCTTCACGGCGGTGCTCAGAGAAGCGGGCCTCGGGCTCCGGGGGCAGGACGGGAAAGGAGCCCTTCGGGAATCTGCAGGGGCTCTGTGTCCTTCACGAGGTCTGTCCCCAGGAAAGGGGACCGAACCGGGGTCTGACTGACCCGCGGGAAGGGAAACACCCAGTCCCCGGGCATCCTGTCCCGCTGAGGGGACCGCGCTTGGTGAAGGCCGCAGCGGGGGCCTCAGGCTCCTGGGAACCGGGCATCACACCCACCTGCCCCGCCTGCCGCCCCAGCAGGGCCCCCGCGAGCCCCCTGGCACAGCCCGGCCCTCACTCAGGGGGGTGAGCATCCTACCCCTTGCTGGTGTGGCGACGTTCCAAATATCCGACCTCGGGCTTTGCTTATGAATTCGTTTCTCGCAAATAGTAGTATTTAGTAATTTAATCAGACGACCGTCAGAGGTGTTAACGTGTTTCCCACCTTACGCCTTTCTCGCATTGAGCCCTGGATTAGAGTACAGGTTACTTCCCTTTCTGTAGGGACCGTCAGGAGCCGCTGCTGAAAACTGCTGTTTGTACTTTACCCTCATCCTAGGAAACGTGCTGCCCATTTCCCATAAATGGCTAAAATAGGTAAGACTGTTTACCTGCCTGCCGGAAGGAACACACGGTAACTACTCGGTCGTTGACAAGTCGCTTTAGCATCCCTTACATCGTCGCTACACGAGCACCACGTGATTTAACGGAGTTTAGGTGTGTGAGCGCCACGTGTTAAAGGATCGTGGGTACGCGCGCGCCACGTGACTTAACGGCGGGAAAGTACACGTGCACCACGTGTTCACCGAAGCCGCCCCCGCCCTGCCTGGGCTCCCCGGGGGCCCTGCCGACGGTGCTGCCCTCACACGGGGCTTCGGCTTTGCTTGGGGAGAGGCGCGTCCGGCCGGAAGTTGCAGGGGGAGGGTGACCGGGAGGGTGACCCAGCCCGGAATCCGCCGTAGGAGGGCTTAGGGTGACGCGAGTTGACGGACACTTGATCTGGGCCCACGAGTTACTCTACTTACTGATGTAAAGCAACAGACGGGCTGGCGGCCGGACCTCTGGCAGTGGGCCTGGCGCCGGCCGAGCTCTGGCGAGTCTGGGGGCCGGGCTCCCTCGGCTGACGGAGGACCCAGCCCCCAAGTGGGGCCCGGGGCTTCCCCTCTCTGGGTGCCTGCGGTCTCCCCGGCCGGCGCTTCCTGTTCCGGTGCCCGGACTTCCCCTCGGGGTTCTTACTGTTCTAAGCAGATTTGGGGCTCCAGATGGGCCACGTTTCCCAGGATGACGGCCAAGTACATTCAGTGACTCGTGTGGTCACTACCGTTTGAGGACAACATGTGCGAGAAGACCTTCCCTGGCCCCTGCCCCGGCCTTCTTAATTCGGGCGTGCCCAGCTGCCAGGTGCGGCCACCCCCAGGCGCCTTAAGGCCCCGTGACCCGCGTCGGCCTCTGTCCCTGGCCCTGAACAAGGGTGAGATTTCTTGAATCCCCTGCACGTGAACCCTCAAGTAGCCCCTTCTCACTTCTCTGCTTCCCGGATCTATTCTCGATGCGGGTGGTTGGTGTCTACACCTGAAATCCCAGCCCGGTCTGCTCCTCCTCCTTCCGTCCCTCCCTCCATCCCGTCCTTGGTCAAGGTGCCAACATCAGCTGATCGGACACCATCCACCGTGAGGGTGGCTGTTTCGTATTCGTTGCCAGAGGCCCCTGGTTCTGCCTTCTCTGGTTTTACTTGAGGATTTTATTCGATTCTGTCTTCCCCCTTGGTGTATTGATTAAACTCCCAACATGTAGAGGTTTCCCTAAAGTTGACAGTGGACGTCCAAGCCCACCTGCCATTACCATTGCCCCGTGGGTGGCAGAGCAGGGACCTGCCTCGGGGTGGAGAACACTACTAGCTCTTTCTGTCTCCCTGCGACACTGCCGTCCCTCACGTCCCCTCTCCCTCTGTTGGAATCACCCAGCACACGTACGTCCCCTTATTCCTGCTTGGACTCTGAACCGTTGTGCAGACTCTGACCTCGATCGTTCCTTCTCCCTGAACAGCTTGTTTTGTTTCTGGAATTTCCTGGGAGCATCTTTCACAAATTCTCTCGTTGTTTGTTTACCTGGGAAGGTCTTTCTTTTCCCTCACTTTTGAAGGTGAGTATCACTGGTTGTAGACATCTGTGTTGGTGGGATTTTTTTTTTTCTTCTAACAGGTTAAAAATGTCATCCACTTACCATCTCTTTCCTGCTGCAGCGACTCCAGGTGAGATGTCTCTGTGACCCTCGTTCTTCTCTGGCTGTTTTCTTGTCCCCGTAAAGGCTCGTTTCAAGGTTTCCTCTGTGATTTTGTTTTTCTGCAGTTGGTGGGTGCTGTGCTCAGTGCGTCGCGGTCACTGAGCTTCTTGGATCTGGCTGTCATTACTCATTACTCCAGATACTCACTGTGATCGCCACCCCCGCCCCCCCATCTTCTCTCTCTAGCAACTGCAGTTATAGATGTTACGCCTTTTGAGAATTTCCCTCCCTTTCGCTCCTGGATACGGTGCTTCTTCCCCCATTCTTCTGTCGCTTTGCGTTCACCTTGGAACTTTCTGTTGCCCCGTCTTCAAGCTCACTGTGTTTTCAGACTATGTTTTCTCCGGCCCTCTGGCATGCCTTGTCATCTTTTGCTTAAAGCCAGACCTGTCGTCTCCAGTCGGAGGGAAATAGGCCTTTGCCGGCGTGGCTGGGGGCTGGTCTCTGCCTAAGGTGTCTCTAGCCTTGTCCCTCCTGACGTGGCTTGGCTGAGGGCTCCTCCCAAAGAGAGCGTCTGGGTCTGCAGCATGTTCGGCTGTGAGCCACGCTTGGGGTCCTCCTGGAGCCGCGTTGGCTTGGGCTGAGGCGTGGGGGTGGGGCACGTCCTTCAGTGGTCGGGGCGTCTGGGATGTCACCTTCACAGAGGTTTTCTCTCCTACAGCTTCTTCTCCACTGGTTGAGACCAGAAGACTCGAGGGGGCCAGAGTCCAGGAGCACCCTCCCCCGGGATCTGGGACGCTGCTCTTGGGAAAGGTGGATACGTGTCACGTTTCCTGAATGTGACAGATGTCTTCCCTTTGTCACAGAGAACTTTCTGGACATATTTCACATTTCACAGCCCAGTTCTTCTCTCCCACCGCAGAGCCACAAGGGCATCTTCCTCAGACCTTCGTGAGGAGATCTCAGGGCTCCTGGAAATAAAGCCCCCCCTCCCCCGGCTCCCAGAAGCCCAGCGAGGCACCGCCCACCAGTTCCTGCCAGTTTACGGCTCCAGCAGCTTCTCCAGGCAGACCCACCTTGCCCACCCTGGCCTCCCAGACCTGCTGTCCCTCCAGGTTTCAGGGTGCTGGCTCGCCCTGCACGCTGGGCTCTCGGGTGAGTCTGAGAGAAGCAGTTGTTTTCAAGTTGTCCCATTTTTTCTTGTTGTAAGGGCAGGAATGGAGTCTGCCACACTCTTTAAATGTCAGTGCTAAGGGGGCGCCTGGGTGGCGCAGTCGGTTAAGCGGCCGACTTCAGCCAGGTCACGATCTCGCGGTCCGTGAGTTCGAGCCCCGCGTCGGGCTCTGGGCTGATGGCTCAGAGCCTGGAGCCTGTTTCCGATTCTGTGTCTCCCTCTCTCTCTGCCCCTCCCCCGTTCATGCTCTGTCTCTCTCTGTCCCAAAAAAAAAAAAAATTAATAAACGTTAAAAAAAAAAAAATTTTAAATGTCAGTGCTAAGTCTGGAGTCCCCGCCACCGGGGGAGGGGCGGTGCTCTGCCACCCCAGATCCGCTACTAAATATTCGTGTAGAACTAATAAATATTAATGCCAGGACATAGAATAACGCTTTCTTTCACCAGGAAAGAAAGAGATTGCACGTGTTGCGACTCATCACTCTTAAAAGTATCTCTGGTTAGTGTTTGATTCTGAGACCCATGTGGGAGGTGAGGCCAGCCTCCTTCGATGCCTCCCACCTCAGCCCGTGGGACGGACTGGCCACAGGCCCCCCGAGGGGCGGTCCTTGGAGCTGATCGCCGGCTGTAGATCCAGCCTCCAGCCGGTGGGGCTCATTCCTGGCCCCAGAGCAGGCGCCGGCTTCCTGCGTCCTGAGGGAGGTGACCCCGTGGGCCAAGTGCTGCCCAGCCAGCAGCTGGGCCAAGGGCACCCTCAACAGTTGCTGGAAAACGGCTCTGGTTTCCGACCGCCACCGGTGCCCAGAAAGGCAGCAGCCAGGGTCCCCACTGTGGCCTTGACTCCCCGGGGTCTCCGTGGGGCGTTCAGAGCGGCCAGCCTGGGCAGGACTCCTCCACCCCCGCCCCGGACACGCCTGTGAACAACAGTTTCTGGAAAATTCTGGCTGCATTCAGACCCTGACTACCTGAGGGGGTCACCCCCACATCAGTTCTGGGGGTGTCTTTCTTGTTGCAATGAGATCGCTTTACACACAGAGAGACTCGCATTTTCAGGGAACGCCTGACCCCAGCCTGCGTGACCGCAGCCAAGGCTTCCAGGCAGGAGGTCGAGCAAACAAAGTTTAGATGCCACTGAAAATGTCCCCACGCTCTGTTTTCTAGAAACATGGCTCCAAGACAGCCACGGGGCATCCACGTATGCGTGTGAACTTACAGAAAAATGGTTGATTTCCCCTTAAATACTTAACAAACGCGTCATGATATACGTGGAAGTAACTGAGTGGTCCCAAGGGTGCAACCAAGTTTCTAAGATGTTCTATTATCGAAGTTAATATTCTGAAAATCAAGTCTCTTGATTTAGAAAAATGGAAGTAAATAATCAACAAAAGCAAAACATGCCCCTAACGGGTGCGGCCGACAGTGTGTGAAACTCGTGCTCAGGAAGATCTCGTTTGCCCAGAGCTCCGCCCACGGCAGCTGAGCCTTGAGCAGGGAGAAGCGGGCACGTGGGGCAGGGTCCCCGCGTGGGGGCTTGTGGAGTCCGTCAGCGTGGGGAGTAAACTGGGCTGGGAGCAGCCCAGGAACTCAGCGTGGGGCCCGTCCCCTCGGGAGCCGGAAACCGGGTCAGTGTCCCCTCCGGGCTTTGTCCTGCGTCTTCTCTCCCGACCCCGCACCTGCCCTCGCCACCACCTGATGTCTGCTAAGCCTGGACTGGCATCTGCCTCTCTCCAAGGATGCCGTTCCGTGAATTGAGTTTCTGGGGCCACCGGTGCAGGCAGCGTCCCAGTAAGCGATGATGGCTCAGCCCTGAGTGTCGGGACGGGGGGGCGTGAGGGGCCCGGGGCTGACAAAATCCTGCGTGCTCTCCTCTGGTTGCGGGAAACTAACTCTCGATGTCTGTGCCTTGCTTTCTTCTAAACTTAGAGTTACTGTTGATGAACTCGCTGTAAATAAACCTTGGCGACATGTGCAATAATTAGTGAAAAATAAATGTGTACTTAAGTATTAATGAAATAAATATTTAGCAGGTTATTTGGGATCTTTGCTGTATCCTCAAACGCTTAATAAATAATGAGAGGTTTATTAAAACTTGCGACTATGACTCAGTGGAAGGATTTTCACAATGCAACTTGCTTCCTAAAATCAGAGAAGGATTTGTTTTCTGTCAAGGGGTGGGCCAAACAGCGGAACGGAAGCTGGGAGCAGACGTCCTTGACACAGTCTGAGGCAGAATGACAAAGCCGCTCGGACCTCACTTCCAGGCCAGTCTTGCTGCCTGCTATCCGAAGGCTTTCTAGCTCTTACTAGCTGAGGATTCAGAACAGGGAACAATGGCCCCGTAAGATCACTGGGTCAGATACGAGGAGCTGACTGCAAGCTCGGCTTTCGAGAAGAATCTGCTCCCAGAACAACAACCCCCTCCCCCCACCCCACCCCCAGCCCCACCCCCAGCCCCGGGAGCCGATGCTGCTGCAGAACAGGTGGGATCCAGGCGACCCTCGAGAAACCCCACAGAGGGGCCCTGGGATGCCATCTCTCTGCCTGCACGTGGAAAATAGAACATCAGTGTGATCGCGACTCCCCATGCCCGCAGCCAGAGGGCCTCACCCCTCCTAGCCTCACCCCCTCCACGTCCGAGTCAGCCCTGGGCCCTGGCAGCCTGTTGCAGAGTCTGGGAGAGGTCATTGTAGCGATCTGGACTCTACAGAGTGTCCCCAAGGCGCATGCTAGAACCCCCGGTCAGATGAGACTCTGAGCATCACCACTAACAGTTTAGGCTGTTTCCCAGCTTGTGGCCCTTCTGGAAGTCACAGTCTTTACGGGACGGAACTGCTAGCCCCACCACCAAGCCCCGCCTTAGCCCGAGCCCCTGCACCTGCCTGTGGCTCTCCATCTGTACAGTGAGCCAGGGTAACCCCTTCTTTCCTTCCGGGACAGTGGTAAGAACTAGGTGCTGGAAAGTGAGTCCCTCAAGCTCTGAGAGGCTAAAGGAGCCATGGCCACGCTCTTTTGCCCAGAAAGAGGTGTCCGTGCGAGCTCTGCCCCCTCCTCTGCCCCTTGGCAAACCCCAGACGCCAGGCACACAGGACACACGGGACATACGCCTATTTAAAAAAAAAAAAAAATTAATGTTTGTTTATTTTTGAGAGAGACGTAGACAGAATGCAAGTAAGTTGGGACAGAGAGAGAGGGAGGCACAGAATCCGAAGCAAGCTCCAGGCTCCGAGCTGTCAGCACAGAGCCCGACGCGGGGCTCGAACTCACGAGCTGTGAGATCATGACCTGAGCCAAAGTCGGACGCTCGACTGACTGAGCCACCAGGCCCCCCAGGACACGTGCCTATTTGAACACTGTGTAAGTCCTAGCAGTCAATCCCCAGATGCCACCATACTGGACGACAACATGCACGCCCACACACGCGTCCCTCCCGGACACGTGTGCACACGTCCCTGCTAGAGTTCACTTATACAAGAGCGAATTCTGTTCTGTTGATGTTTCTGCCTGTGCAGTTTTTGCCATGAAAGGTTCCTATCGATTTAAAACCCGATGAAGTAGGAGGAAAAAAGTCAGAAAGGGCACACTGGGGCTCACTGAGTGCAGTAGTTGTATTTGAGGAAAGCCTTCTGCGGCGTAGCTTCAAGTGTCATTAATCTCAAAACGTGGGTTCCACGGGCATATACAATTGTTATTTTTTATCTGGGGGGAATCTTCGAGGCAACACGTGTTAGCGGCACCGGTGTGAAAACCTTCAGACCGGACGTTGGCTAAGGAGACCCCTGCTTTCTTCTTTTTCTGTCTACACAATAAGAAAGAAGACCGAGAGGGCATGAGGAGTGGCCTCCGCGGCCGTCACCTTCAGCGCCCCGCTCACCTGGAGAGCGCCTCTACCCATAATGCACTAAGTGGATGATTAAACAGGAATGGGGGCTTAACGGAGGGTAAGCGTGGGGTCCCCCGAGCCTGGCGGAGCACTGAACCGTGCGTCTACAGCTGTCTCCACACAAGCCCGACATTCTTTATTTATTTGTTATGAAATATTTATGGGTGTTATGAAAGGTTTAAAATAATGCGTCTGTCCCTCTCTCCCCCTCTGTCTCTGCCTTTTGCTCAGCACACTGTTCTCCAATGCATAAATAATTCCGGGCTCCGGACAGTGGGCGGCACATTTTTGCGTTCTATCTGCTGTATCACATTTTTTCTGCCTGAGAGAAAATATCATTCCTAGTAATTTTCTACACTTATACAATCGGCGTTGACAGTAAATAATTGATGTATGAATTTAGGACTAAACTCCAACACAATATGACTTTATGTCAAGGGTTACTCCCAGCAGATTTTGAGCTAAATCATCTTGCAAAATGGGTTCTTTCAGTGGGAGAAAAAAAGCTTTTTGAAATTATTTTAATGGAAAACTGGGACCTTGGCGCGGCTCTCCTTTTGATGAGGTCTTGCTTTGCATGGTTGGTAATAAAACCAAGCAATCTACCCATTATGAGATTGGAAATGTTTCATCTGTGATCACAAATGGATTTTTTTTTAAGACTGACACAAGCTGTTTTTATTCGGTTCATCCTTTTTTCTCTTTTTTTCTTCGTGTGTGTGTGTGTGTGTGTGTGTGTGTGTCTGTGTGTGATTGCATTTGCGTGTGGTAGGCTGCCCTCTGCTTTTCATCCCAGAATCTTCCATAGAAAGTACAATTACGATTTAAATTACAAGCTGGATATATTTGCAACTTAAAGATATATTACTAGCAGAAAGGCCTCAGATAAAGCGCTACACATTCCCTCCCATCACTGCAATTAAAATCCTTTTCATCATGAAAAGAAAATGTTTACCCCAGACCAGGAGGGGGGAGAGCAGACACAGGAGAGAGAAACCTTTCATGAGATGGTCTGCGGAGAAACACGTTATATCTTTACAGCTTCGGTTGAAGGCCAGGAAGAAGATCAAAGAAAACAAAGAAGGTGAAAGACCCAGAGTGAAATTCGCTATTTGTTTCACTGTACTCGG